TCTTGCCTCCCGTCCTCCCCCGTCCTTGGGTTTCTCTATCTTCTTTGTCGTACTTGTTGATATTATTCATCTCAGCTCATGTTATGGCAAATAGCACTTTCATTGTGTGCAGTTATTAGAATCCTGTGCAAGCAAATCTGTATTCCTGTCCTTTCTCCTTCTCCTCATCCTCACTGCTTGCCATTGCTCCCTTGGACCACTTCCCTATTGCAAGAGATCTGTCCCTTTGTCCCTTTCTCTCTCTCCTTTATCGTATTCTTTGTTTGCACTTCGCCTCATTAAGATGCGAGCTACCAAATGATATTTAAGCTTATGTGGTTGGTTTATTTCACTTGACATTATATTTTCCAGGTGCATCCATTTTCTTACAAATGTCTCATTCTTTTTTTTCTCATGCAAATGGGCCATTCTTTACGGCCCAGTAATATTCCATTATATATGGACAGCACATTTTCTTTATCCAATCATCTGTCGATGGCTGGAAAGCAGATACTGTTTAAACTTTTCATCTATAAAACCTATCAAAGGAGATTTTTTTAAGCACACATTATCCATATGTGGTCATCATGTTCTAATTACTCATTATTGGATACTAACTTAATATCATATCTAGATCACTTATTTAGCAAACTTACTTATGACTTACTAGTTTATTGAGTCTCTGATTCATGTACATTCTCTCTATAAGAATACACTCTAACACAAAATAAGACTTAAAAGATTATTTTCAGAGATATGTGAAATGTTGCACATTATGCCCCTTAATATTGACCTTTGGCCAATCTGGATAAGGTAAAGATCAAAATGATAGGATGATAAAATTTACATAGCTTCCTAGACTTGTTTTATGAATTCCTGTAAGTAATATCTTTTAAAATTGTTGGTTCTTGGATCTTGCATTAGTCTGAATTGTCTTAGTTTAATAATTATTTAAAGTAGGGACACTTTAAGGTCATAATGTTTGATTATGTAAAGCATACTTAAAAAGCTGGTGCACTTAATTTACATATTCTGTTTATGAATTTCTTTTTAAATACTGTTAACTACTTAGAAATAGGAACACTTATTTTCCCATAGTTATAGAGCTCAATATGTAATATATGAAATACAATATATAAAGTAGATTCGTATAACATCCATACTATTTGTGGCAAGGGAATTATTTTTACTAGAAAAACCCAAATAGAGGCAAGTGTTTTATAATTGTTAAAATGAATTATTAAACAGTCAACATATTTTTCAGCCACTACATTGTTTCCAGAGAAGATGGAACATAAATATAAAACTTCATTCTGAGACTTATAAATTTATGAAAGTAGAAAATCTTCACGGTAAAGATGACCTTAAAATAATTAGAATTCTCATTTACGTGCAACTTTTAATAGAAAGCATGTACTGGTATTTGATATATTTCCCCTATCCATTAGGAAGAATTACTCTAGTTTCTAGATTCTTCATCTATTTAATTCCTCTTCTATGCAAGTAAACATGCTGAAAATGGTTGTGTTTTCCTTTTGCAAAAAAAGTTAAAAATGACTCATTGTACTGCAAGCTTTATATTTCCTTCTAGAAAAGACATACCCACCTAGCTACACAAGCAAATCACCCAGTGATTTACTTTGCTACTAGCATTACATCATCACAAAAGACTCAATCTCTGGTCCAAATACCTATTAATAATGTTATAATTTGATTTGTAGCCAAAGCTATGCATTTTCCAGAATTTTAAAGGACTCAATAAATTTGAATTATAGAGTATGGTTTGACTCTAAGAATAAACCAAGAATAATTATTTGCAATTCTAAAGTATCTAGTTTATCATTCAAATTCAGTTGAATGATTATAAACCACTCTAAGCACTAAAGAAGTACTATCTTTAGAAAAGCTTCATAAGGACCAAACTCTTTGCAACAAGTGTATAAAACAATGCTTTTTTATCTGCCTTTCTGCTTACCTTCAGTAATGCAAACCAGAAGTTACAGAAGTTCAAGTGAAAGCAAAAAGGTCACATTCAGGCAGAAAATATGTCATCGTATATAACACAAGGAACTATATTATTTTTCAATTCAGCGTTCCAAACTTAGGACAGTTTAAATGAGTGAATGCGGTTTTATGTTGCCAGGCCAAACTCTGCTTTCCAGTAAAGATTTTTGGTACCAGGGATTGAACTCGGGTCCTTGCACTTGCAAGTCAGGCCACCGAACCGCTGAGCTAAATCCCCAGCCCTCCAGTAAAGATCTTAAGACAATATCTATATTAGAGACATGGAAAGTGACATATAACTGGGTCAATAGTTTACTGAAGCCAGAGCAAAGCAGCAACGTTCCATCTTTTCTGGTCTGTGTGTGTCAACCGTATAGTCTCAATGAAAAAAGTGAGGAATATTCAACAAGACTGCATTATATCTATTTTGTTATCAGTGGCAACAATTTTGTAGTGTAGATTTCCCTCTTTCACCTACCTGGATCTGCTTTTTTCTCTTTCAAGCAGAGAATAATTCTTCCACTGTTTTCACAAAACTACCCAAAACATAGATGCTAGACATCACATGGGCTGATAAAAATTCACCTGAACACAGTCTGAGGCGTATGCTACCTTCTTATCTTCCCTTTAGCTGACATTCTCTTACCTCAGTAGTGATCAGTGACCCTGAGACAATGAGAGAACCTCAAGATATGTCTGTATTATCAAGAGAGAAGTGGTTTTCAGTGCTACATTTTGCAGAGAGTACACAGAATATTCCTGATTAAAGGCAACACAAAGATCAATTTTCAGTACTCTTAGGTGAATTGATATCTGTAGTTTAAAAATATGAGTTGGATTTGAGTGAAGCTGACAGATTAATGGACCTCAGAGGAACACAGAAATCCAGCCACAAATGTAGACATCTTGTAGTTATTTCTATTCCAGGGACACAGCTGATATAAATAAGAGATTTATGTGTTTTTTTCTGTCCCTCAATACTTTAATCACTGAAATTTAATAATGACAACAGTATTCCTTTTCTCTGTAATTGTTTTGGGATGGTCTTTATTTTAACATGAAAGTGATATCTTAGAAGTTTAAAAGGAGGAGTGAAATCAATAAAATTCACATGCAGCCACTGGTTTTAATTTGTGCACATTGTTGTTTGAATTTGAAATGCTGAGACCTCAAAGAAGAAAAAATGTCTTTAAGGGAAAGAGAAGACATCTTCACATGAGCAGAATTTTTAAAAGGACAGGAAAACCCACAGCACAATGCTCTAAATAAGCAGATGAAGAGATGAATAAGCTAACAAAGGTATAGAGGTTTAAAATAGAGATGAGTATTTATTAGAGCCACCCATTTTTTGCTCAATATAATACAATAAACCCAATTAAAATTAATCTAATCCTACTATATTTAAGAATTAATTATATAATTGTGGTAGGATAAAAGATATATATATATATATATTCAAATTTAACATCAAAGAAAATCAATGTTTTTATGATCTCTCTGGTTAATTTTGGTTTTGCTTAAGATTTAGCTACAGGTCACAAAGGAGGCATATTTTGTTAATCAAAATTAGTAGCATTTGTCATGCAAATAAGAACTGCTAATTCTATTTCCATAGTGTGTAGTTGCATAAGCTTCCCGTTTCATTTCAAATACTGTGATAAAACCTAGATCTTTTGTTTTTTACAGTTACATCTTTTGGGGTTTGTAGTTAACTGAAGATTAAAAAACACACGATTTAAAATGATTCTGTTCCCACTAAAATTGAAAAAATAATACATTTAGCAGTTTTCAAATTTTTTCTTTGGCAGAATTATTTAATTTAAATAAAATACCTAGAATGTCACTAAGAATGGCATGAGTGAAATAAATGACTCCCTACAGCAAGAACAACAAATGGTCGTAGCGTCCTCTTTAGCTAGTCGCTTCTCTACTCCTCTTCCTCCGCTATCCTCTCCATGCTGACTGCAGAGTTAGGATCCACACAGCATGGCGCCCTATTATTGTTTGATTCCTTTATTTTCCTGATATGGTAACAAGTATATAAAGTGTAACCAGTTCCCTTCCCAAAGGAGGACATCCAGACTGTCCTGTATCTCTTGCATTTTCAACCAAAGTCTTTGTCATGAGACCCTATTTCTTTCCCTCAGAATTAGAGAAAATATAAATCCTGAATATAACCAAAATGATCTGTGGTTAATTCAGATTCCTCTGCAGCCCAAATATTGTTTACTCTTAAGTGCGAAGTTTCCCTATATGGCTCAAGAGTTGAATGCTGCACAGATTGGGCTGAATGTTTCTTACTGTTCTAACAGGTAGATTTACAATGTTTACGAAGGCATCCCCCGAAGAGTTCCAACGTGAATTTTCAATGTTGAAAGTAATGGGAAGAGAGCGTAGTTTACTCAGCACTCAGATACAATTATAAAGTGCAAAGTTTGGTTAGGGAGGAAAATCATAAATAACCACAAAAAGTAGTTTAGATTTTAAATGTCGAGGACCTCGTGTACGGCAGTGCTGGCATTGCTGGGTTGTCTCAGTGCTTTACATAATGAGAACATTTCTCCCACAATGTTCTTCACATTATTTATGAGTGATCCCCACTGTGCCCCAGCATTACTACCTTTTTCCCATTTATAAAATAAAGAAGGAGAAAGGACTCATTATGTTCTTCTAATCCATAGAATTTAAGATTCCAGGATCCTAAGTATACAATACTAGAGCTAAACACAGAGCCATTTTTAATGCTTGTATTTCTGAAAACCTGTAGCCCAGATCTGGCCAAAATGTTATCTTTAAGCATGCGGTTTTTTAATACTTTATTAAGTGAATGTATTAGACATTCAGTTCTATAAAGGTCATGATCATCGGTAGCCAGACTATGAACCAAAGCGTGTAACAGTCCAGGCACATTACCATACTTCCACTCCCCACCCCTTTTAGAATCTATGGTCACGGCTACGGAGGTAACACTGACATCACTGAAAGCCGCTACTGGGAATGTACAAAGTGGTACTCACCTTGGACCAGTCACCCATTCTCCACACATAGCACTTTGAGTAGTCCTCACAGTCCTCAGCTTCCCTGGGCCTGGTGGAGAGGACGCACTTCTTTCTCGGGTTAGTGCACCTTACAGTGCGATGGCGCACACCTCTGCCACACTTCACAGAACACTGAAAGATAATATCAGAGGGTTTGGAGAGAATCAGTGATTGGAAAGTCTATAGATTTTGTTGGGTATCGGTCCCTAATGGTTTCTCATGGGCCTGCTACCCCCACAAAAGCCAGGTAAAAGAAAAAGGGTAAGTTTGAGGGTAACACCAGGTTAGCATGTATACCAGAGGCCAGATAGAGCCTAATGCAAAATATTGCAGATAAATTGTTTCAGGAACAACAGACTACTCTTACAGAGAGCAATATAATGCCATGGTAATTTAACACCAATAATATACAGTGATCAAAATTAAAATATAAAAATTTAATTAATATCACATTTCTATGTATTCAAGGAAAATCTTAATTTTGATTTTGCTAATATTTACTTTTCTTCAGTTTTAATTGTTGGGGAAAGATAACAATATGTCACAGGATGCCCTTTCTCGCAAAGATTTCTTTAACCAAAATAGACAAATTTTAGCCAGAAATAAAAAGAATTATATATGGCTATAAATTACTGTTCTCAATAGACATATAGATTAAAATATAATTTAGTTTAAAAATCGTCAAGCTAATTTCACAAATAACTGATGCTTAATTGATGACGATGGCATAAAAGACTGAAGTGTTAATGCATTCAACTATTTTGCTGCATACAAATCTAATCTACTCTCAGGCTCCTTACTATAAAATAGTTACCCTGTCTTCTAAAAGCAGGTGTCAGGAAGTCTCTGAATGAGAACAGACTGTAATTGAGTTGCATTCAGGGGTGTTAGGAGTGGAACAGCTATGTCACAACCTGACAGTCTAATTTATATCTGCGACTGCAAAAGGTCCAAAAAGAGGGTCAGAGCATACGTGTAGCAATGACGTCACACAGGAACCACTATGCTGCTTTCCCAGGTTATCGCGCATAGCCACAGCAGCAGGCAGAGGCTGAGCTCACTGCCCTGCTGACATTTCTTGGCTGCAGCAACAATCGTGTTCCAAAAAATGTGAGCATGGAGCTTATGACACTCAACATAGGCTACATCTTGCACAAATTAGTAATTATACCATACTTTATAACCTGCACTTTAATATTGAGCTATAGAATGAATTATTCATTGTGATTTGGTATTCTAATGTTTATATTTTTAGATCTAGTGATTAAAACGAGCCCTGTTCTGTAAGATCAGATTTTAAATTCAGTCAAAACCAGAGAAATATTTTCAACTGGCACGTTGCAAATTTCTCCCGGCTGGTTCCAAATATCTGCGCAGCATAATATTTTTGACCCACTTCCTTTTAAAGAGTTTGCAAAAATGTTTATTGAGTTGGAGGCAGTGTATTATTTCTCCAATATTCATGTGAATCCTCGCTCCATATTGAAGAGATTAATTTTTATGTAGAACTGGATGTGGCATTTATGCTAAAAAAGAGAGATTATAAATGAAAAAAGTATCTATTAAAAAGCAAAATGCAACCAAGAAAAACCAAAGGGCAAGAAGTGTATCTCTTTGCTGATGTGCTTTTTGGGAGGTTGGGTTAATTAAAGTATATTTAGAAACTGCATTACCTAAGCCACTTTATCCATACTTTAAAAAGAATAGCTACCTACTTTACCGGAGCATTTTTTGTTTGTCACTTTTCAGATTCTATTTAATAGACTGAAATTAAATAAATGAATAATTGTGCTGTGTGTGTGTGTTGTATGTCTTTGCATATGTGTGTAGGTTTATGAGTAGGTGTCCACTTGGGTTTGTGCACTGACATTCACTAGAAATGCTTCAGAACAGTCAGTGCATACAGGCAGTGAACAGCAGTTATTAATATTCATATCATTATTATGCAAAGGTATGCATTCCGATAGCAGAAACTAAATCACTGTGCATCAGCATAGACCATATATGTATGTCACACACTACAAGCTATTAGCTAGAGGATACATGGCATATTGAGTTAGGCAGCCCTGGGTCAGTCCCAGCTCTATGACTTAGGTAGGACTTTTAGTAAACTAACTTTAATCTCTACCATAAAGCTCTATAAGCTCTCACTTATAAAGTGGTGAAACTGTTAAATTTCTTACACTGGTGATTAAATGCAAATGATATAACACACATGCACGTGATGTATAAACACACTCTACTACCATTCAGTGATTGCTAGGTTTCCTTTTCTTTTTATATGTTCAGAAATATGCCATGAGTTAAATATATTTTTTAATGTGTGCTTATTAAAGACCATACTTACAGTATGTAAATGCAGAAGCAGATTTCTAAAATGTATATAAAATTTGCTCTTTATCACCTCTACAGAATAAAAAATACTTTCATTCTATTTTTCAAAATTAATATTTGAGTATGCTCCTTTTATTCCAGCAAAATTAGTAGATAGTATAAGTTAAAATATCAACTCATGCAGTAAGAGCCTGGACACCACGCAGCAAGAGCTTGTGCAAGCTGAAGAGGCAGAGAAAGAGAAGGTGAGGAAGTGGGTTTGTACTGCACCTCAGACCACACTCCGGCCTCCCACACAGTCATGCAGTCCTGGCCCTCGCAGCGCTGGGCAGAGGCTGGCTTGGGCCCAGCACAGTCTCTTTCCCGGGCTCTTGTTAAAGTTCCGTTGCTCAGTTGCTGGGTGCAGGCCACCTGTCTGCTCTGCAGCCCTTTTCCACAAGTCCTTGAACATGTGGTCCATTCTGTCATCATCCATCTAAAAGTAAAGCCATGCCCAGTGGAAACTGGTTAGAAGATTGCTACTTAGCACACAAGGGACACTTCCGGAGTCAGCAGAAAGTCACAGGTAAGTTTGCTACCATTTTTAAAAACTAACATTGTCATTTTCTTGTGTGATTGTTCTTAATAAGTTGTGAGAAGGGACTGTTCTTACTAGAATTCCAAAGTACATTTCAGATTCTGTCCATGCTATTTTAGAGGTGGACTTTTACTGCTCAGAATAGCGTGATACTGAGGTACCATTTAGTATAAACTTGCTAATAGTTTACCAAAGGATGGAGACTTATCCTTCATGAGAGAGCTACAGATGCTTCTGAGCCAGCCACTGTCTAGGTAAGAGTGTTCACCAACGTGGGAGTAGCAGGGTTGGATCAAATTCAACTTAATACCACTTTAGAGATGTTCAGGACTCCAATACCTTTCAATTTCACCGATTCAACCACTCTGCCAACATGCACCTAATTTTGATAGTTAAAATCTTTTTATAGTAATGAAGGCATTAATAGATATCCACATCACTTCAATTTCTAACCAACTGAGAGCTGTCTTAAGTACCACAAAGTAAAGACTTCTCCAAACCTATTTCAGGGAAGAAGCAAGTGTTTCTCTCTCCCCACTCATTCCCTCTCTGTCTTCTCCCTCATTCCCTCCCTCCTTTCCTCCTTCCTTTGCATTTTGTGCTGTTCTCACCCTTATTCTTGTGATATGAGATGACACAATGCTTCCTGATGAGACGCAGTGAGGTCACAGGCACAGGCATTGTAACACAGGCTTTTCTGCAAGGGTTCCTTAAACACAAGCACTGTGGTACCAAACAGACTGCCTGATAACAGATGGCAGCTGAGTGACTACGGGTCATATGGTGCTTACAGCAGAAGGAGCGAGGTATCATCATGCTACTCAGAGCAGCATGCAATTTTAAACTTACAAATTGTTCATTTCTGGAATTTTCTATTTCACATTTTTAGACCAGTGTTGCCTGTGGGTAACTGAAGCTACACAGAGTGAAGACACAGATAAAGGGAAATATGATAGATAATAGACACACTGCAGTATGTCTGAAAATAATTTACAACTAAAATATACATGCATGTTTCTAGCTTCATCTTCCACATGTTTGAGAAATAGCCCTAAGCTTAGCTCGAACCGCAACACTTTCTATTTTCACAGGCTATTTAGTCACGTACGTTCTGCTGCCTGGACTGCTGACCGGAAGATCTAAGCCCCTTCCTCCTAGAATGCTTTTATCCTCCAAACAACAGGATCTCCGCTTTCCCCTTAGCTCTGTCACCAGCTCTGCACTAGTCCTGTGTGTGGTACTCACAGGACTTACTAACTACCCACTGAGACACGCAAGGACTCAAAGCCTACCACAAGAACTGGCCTTCCTTCCCGTTTTAGGATACAAATGAATTCTTGAAGGGCACGTATCAAAGACTTGCTATTCTGTGTCCATAACACTTTTCACATACTAGCTTTTCTCGAAACGTTTCTTGAAATGAAATTTACGTTTCTATTTTACAATCTCAATTGTTTAAAAATAATTTTCTCTTCTATAAAGTGGTTTAAGTCTAAATTCTTTTATGTTTTTATTTCTAAAAGGGAAAAATTCTATCATAACATTTGTAGTTGAATAGTAACTGGATTTTGTTTCTTGGTCTATCAAATATAATGCCAACCTACCATTTTGCTTTGGAGTCCTCCAGTGGACTTTTTCTAGAATAAATATGTATCTTCTCAATTTAGTTTAGGGTCTATGTTACATTCCTATGTAGGAACATTCGGAAAGTAATCAGAATTTATATCCATGTATGTATCTTGTCCTCCAGCTATGGAACCCAGAGAACAGTACTAGAAAGAGAAGTATTGTGATTTCACGCAGTCTCATTTTTGAAAATTAAGCAACTTTACAGATCCTTGCTATAATGATAAAAAGTTATTTTTTCTATTTCTTAAAAACTGTTCAAAAATATGAAGCAAAATGTATTCTAGTGAGACAAAACATTTCTGCATTTTGGAATTTATCTCACTTGAAATGGCTCAATCACCTTAACATTAAGGCTTCCTCTCCTAAGCCTGTTCACTAGGGTACCAACCAGTCCATTTCACTTTTGTGCATATGGGGTGCCACCAAGCACTTTGGAGAAGTTTTTTCAATAAATATGAATGAAAAAATGAAAACTACAATGTTTCGTTTTGGGATGGAAAATGGGAAAAGATAAAAGTAGGCGAAATAAAGAATGTTCTCTGCCAAAAAGTTTTTTTTTTAAATTTTTTTTGTTTTTTTCCTTTTTTCCAGTGCTGAGGATCAAACTCAAGACCTTGCACTTGCAAGGCAGACACAGCACTGAGCTAAATCCCCGGCCCCTGACAACAAGTTTCAGATGGTTTCCCTCTAATGATCCTGCCTATGTCCACACTTCCTCTCCAAGCTTTTGGCTAACATCACTGATAGTACTTTGTGGTGGTTCTCAATATTTTGTCTCCTTTTCCAAAGGAAGGAAGATAATAATCTTTAATGACAATAACAACAACAGAAAACTTTCCAGTTTCCTCCTGCAAACATTTGTCATTCAGAAATATACTGACCTTTTAAAACTTTTCATTTTACAAAGTCATTATTGCCAAATTTTCCTCTAAGACAGCTGAGGTCAGTGAAGGAACAAAATTAATGACCAGTACTGTACACTCTGCGCTTTCAAAGGCCAAATTAAGAAGTAACCAATAAGCTCCAGTTCTTAAGCCTGAAAATCCTTGACCTCAGGAAAAGCTGTTGCTCTTTCATCAAAACATGAAAATATTTTAATAAATATTTTGTGAGATAATTTAGTATTTGAATATCTACTAAAGGAGTTAGAAAAATAAAAAAGAATTCTTACAGATAGTGCTAGCTACAAAAATTCAGGTTCTTTAGCTGACAGGAGAAAAACCAAAACTTCTGCTGAGATATCTTTTCTAACATAGGATGGAAAAGACTCAAGGATTTTCATGTTGTCTGAAAACAACTGCCTACTTGGTTACTACATTTTGGAGCCAGTGTGGTTACTGCACTGCATTATAAAACACTTTTACCAGCTCACCTGTATAAGGAGTTATACCAGAAAGTGTGAACTCCAGAAAGTGCAATGCATATGACACTATTGAAAGTATATTAATGTGCCTCGTTCTTTTGCACATCCTTTTATGTGTCATTCTTCTATTCTTTTGTATGACATATTGCAAAGGGGTAGGACTTTTGGAGCAGGAGTACATAAGAAAGGAACAAAGGTTAGCTTTCCACGATGTCTTAAATACACTGAATCCACAACAAGGTAAGCCTTGAAAATTCAACATTTTAAGGAAAGAAAGCATCTTCTGAAACCTTTTAAACTTTTATCAACATGGTGTGAATCAGATCTGAAGGGTATAATAACTGGATTTTACAATGAGGCAGAAATAGGGAGAACTTGAGATACAAAATAAGGAGATGGGGAAATTTAATAGGGAAACTAGAATTGAGTATTTGCCTAGATGACAGATGTTCAAGAGAAAAAGACAACTAGAGGAAGTTGACAGCTTTGTTTGCTCTCCGTTAAATCTCATACTTACTCATTGAGATGGAAGATCATGAAGAAGATTATGCTAGTTAGAGATGTCTACAAAGCTACAAATTCTTTACATATCTCAAATGTAAGGTATTAGTAAATTCACCATGACTCCCTGGTAGGAACTATTGTGATGAAAAATTAATTCTGACTTTCTAAGAACACAGAACTATGCCTAATGCATGAAACCTCAACCAATCCCTGAGGGTCCGATGAAGTAAATATTGCTGGGACTGTGCCAGAGGAATCAATCCAGTCCCACGATCTCTTCGTCATCTCATCCCTGAACATTTTTCGATTTTTGGCACTGGCACTGAGCCCCACTTAAGCTCTACACTGATTTGTATGAGGAAGGAGGTGGGACTTCAGGAGCCATGTGATAGCAGCCATGCCAAGTAGCTTTTGCTGCTAGGCTACCCCGAGATTATGCTCAGGTTCCAGTCATTTGTCTCTGCTTCATCCTCCACTTATAGGGCCTGGCCTCATTTTTTTCAACCTGGCTTATAACTTGCTCAGTATTTTTGTTTCATTTTCTATTCACAAGTCACCTTCCTATATTATGGTCAAACACCCAGCAGAGAAACCAAGATTTAGGTGAGAAATCTCACCTGAGAGCAGCAATTGGGCAATTAATATCGAGAACTCTGTGGGAAGAAGCAGGGAACCAGCTGCAGGAACAGGAGGACTTCATTGTCTCTCCTGGGTCCTGGGTCCTGATCATTTCTGCCTTGGGCTATTTACGCCTAGCAGCATAAACAAATATGTTTACGTTCTAACATACCACTTAGAGAATTAAACAGCAAGCAGCTAAATTATACCAAATAACCAGATTTTGGAAGAGGCTACCAAATAATTTCAATTACTTCCACTATCAACCCCTTCCCTCTGTTAAACGGTTCTTTTCACATTGTGGAGGACGTAGTCAAAGTTGAAAATCTTAGCCTTCATTCGCTTGACTTTGTTATTTAAAAGTTTACGTTTCGGTGCATATTCCTTTGTAGCTATTTTTTTTAAGTGTGCTTTCGATAATATTGGGAGAATTTTTAAAAGAATAGCAATATAACGGCCAAACAGGTCTCCAATGATTGCTGGAATGAGGTTACCTTGTCTGACAGGGTTGCTCATTGCACCTTCGAATTTGTGGCTCTGGCTTGGTTAAGTATTTGCATTTCTTGTTGTCCACGATGCTGATGTTTTTGCTCATGATTTTTGTGCAGGACACTGTTGTCTTCCTTTCTCCTGGGAAGAGCAAATAAACACGTAAGGAATGTGATAAGCCTTTGTGAAATGGGTTTACCAAATGTTTGAGGCTTGTAATTTTCATGGCTATTTTAAACAAAATTCAACTTATATCAATGAAGAGAATACTGCTCATATTTTAGATAATAAAATTTATCTATAAGCTTAAGGATTTTCCCCCCTTAGAATATAAAGCGCAAGTTTTCTAGTCCAGGGAAATATGAGTAACACAAGTTACAAGATGTTAACTGAGACTTTTATGAAGAACCACGGCCAGCTTTTAGCACTGTGTGGCTGCAGGCTGCATGAGTGGGAGAACAGCAGGAGTGTGCACATAAATAGGCACAAGGATGCACGATGTGTCATGTGGTTGTATGTACACTACCAGTGCTCATACTGATTTATAGGCACCAAGCTTATTTTCAATGTACTCAGACCTTTATTCTTGTTGCCTTAAAGAAAGACCCCCGAAGTTCTAGAAATTTTTATTCCTAAATGTTTGCTATGCTTTTTACTAAGAAAGGATAAGAGATCCTTACTATCATAATACTTCAGAAAACTCAATTTTATTTATACTTTCTTTGTTATGATAAAGTCTGGTTACAGGAGGCAAGAACTATTTGTATGCTGTATTCATTTTTTTACTAGCACATTTACTTACCATTGATTTTTTAAAATCTAGTAAGTATGCGTTAATTTCTTTTTCTCTGTAAGTTTTATATGTTAATTTCCTATGAATAGAAAGATAGATATCTGTGTAAAAGTAACGATAGATTTTATGACTGATGCTATGCAGTCATTAAACCAGCCAACAATTTAAAAGTCAGACAGGTTATGAAGCATTAATCGGAACACATCTGAGTAGTTTGATCCCTGTGACTGCCATGCAGTGGTGATTAGGAAGCTGAGAGCAACTCGTGCTGTTCATACCAAACATAAAAGGCGAGGCTGGCTCCAGAAAGGTCACTCTGTCCCTCAACTGAGAGGAAGCTAGACAGAGGAAGGAGAGAAGAGATGTAGAGTGGGAGCTGCTTTGATTAATTTTAAATATCTTTAACTTCAAAGGGGATGGGAAGAGAGAAGGGCAGCATCAAATAAAAGGCAAAAGAACAGATATGATTCGTGGTCTTTCTTTATTTCCATCTCAACAACACTGAGCACAGCCTCTGCAATTTATAGGCTACAAACACAACGCATCTGTGTACAGATATGGATTAACTAGCACTTATGTCCACGACCATGGCAGAGCACATTATTGAAACAAGTAGACCTTCAGAAGTAGCATAACATTGGGCAAATCATTCCCTTCGGAGTAATCCCTGGGTTCTGGCAGAAGGCAAGAGACCATGGGAGTTCAGTACCAAGAGCAGAGGGCCAGGCAGGACCCTGTGCCTTTGTGGGCGGAAGTCGCCTCCTCGGGACCCTGATACTCTGAAGTGTACATCTGCAGGCCAACCACAGGGAGGGCCTTGAAACAGACCTCCAACCACAGGTAAAAGTGTCCTTGGTACAGGTGGAACAGGGAGACTTTATGCCCCTCAAGCAACTGAATTAGAGAACTGCTCCTCTTCATCCAGAGGATGCATGCATCAGGATGCATGGCCCGGAAGTGAAAACAACAGGACTGTGCTCGCACTAGCCACAAACCTGCACACAACTGCCTGAAAGGAACTGCAGAGTCCTAGCCTGACCTATGAAGCTCAGGAAGTCTGACGCCCCCTGTCAAGGAAGGGCAGGCTTCCGTGCCCAGCACACACTATGGGACGTTCCAGGCGGCTCCTCTGCAGGTCAAGAAAGGCTGGGTGTGGCCTTAGACTTAACCATAGCGGTGCCCGATAGTTATCAACTTCAAATATTCTTTTAATAAGCTGCCAGAGAAGCAAACCAACTTAGGCCTTTTTCTAAGATACAGAAAATGGACCTCACAAGATAGGAGACACCTAAATGTAAAACATTTGGGACAGATTTTTGGCCAACTTCCTTCTGGTTTCTTATACTTCAAGGGCTCCTTTACACATATTAAATAATATTACACAAATTGCGCATATTGATAGCATATGTTAAGTATAATTTCTACCTTATTAAGATGAATATTACATTTATGAAATACAAATGTTAGTTTTAAAATTTAATTTGGGCTCCTCATAGTTGTTATAAAATAATCTTACAAAAGATAGTTGGCTAATTTAAATAATGCTACTTTCCCAACTATTGGATAGAAAGAATGAAAAACAGATATAATCAAGAAAGTTTTCACCAAACATATTTGTAGCCATAGAGCATGTATTAGTTATATTGCACTATTTTATTTTCTCAGAAGATAGCCTTATTTATGTTGGCTCATACCCACCACACACAGCTACTGGAAAAAAAATGTAATATACCAAAAGAGATAAAATCCATGTATATTATTATAGAGAGCATATTAGTGGTGCTTTAAGAAAATATGAAGGTATATAAATATGATTGGGACATTTCTGTCCATATCGTACCCCAGAATATCATATAAATTGTTCGCCAGTTAGAAGTTCAACCACATTTTTTAGAATTTCAGTGAACAAAAACATTAGAATCAGGAAAAATGTATTGCTTAGCTACAGACATGTTATGCCTATGGAAATACAACTAAAATCCTAAAGCCCTATGACAATGTTACTTTTTATACGCTATACATATTCTTATGTCCCAGCCAACACAGGAAATTTCCATGCTAGCATCTGAAAGGATTACTGACAGTGGTGCATTAAGGGCTCCTGAACCAGGGGACAAAAAGTAGTGAAGTAGCCAGCTATGCACCTGAGCCTCTAACCCACGAGTAGCTGCACGGTGCTAACAGCTTGGATCATGGCATTCTCATTCAATGAGTCACAGTCCCTCCGATTTTTAGATATCTCAGAACCTCAATGAAAGTAAATATTTCCCAAATAAATGTTCAGCTGCTCGAAAATAAAATGACTTATTGCAATGGCTACTGGTAAAAGAACAGTGGGAGGTCCTGTAGCAGACCCCTCTGCCCATTACTAGCAGGCTAGAGTGGCACAAGGTTCTTGCCCCTCTATCATTGGGGCAATGTATTATTGCAGGAGTCTGGCCAAAGCTTTCGTGACTCAAACGGGCATGTCAGATAGCAGAGTTGGGCTGGTATCGCTCCTTTGCTAACGACTGCTACTGAGACTTCAGTCCTAGGCTGTGAAGTAGCAGGGCTCAGCCAAGTTCACTTCCAGTCAAGGTCAACGGACTCCAAGTAAATTCTTCCCTCTGAATTAACCATTTGTTCTCTTCAGGAAGGATGTGCTTGTGCCCTCATTCTGCTGTCCTGCCTGCTTGATACTTGTTACCAGCAGGTGTCCCAAGGCCTGCCCAGTTTCCCCCTTCCCATACTTGAAATGAATAAACCCTGAATGTTCTGGGAATTTGTCTTTGCTGCCCAGAACAGCTTCGATCAGCCCAAGATTCAGTTTCTCTCAAGTCTCTGTCTCTGTGTTCCTTTTAATTCCCAATTTCCTTTCTCATGGATGTCACATTGGATTATAGGAGGTCAGGACCACTGCAGGGGTCTGTGCCAACTCCTGTTGCCCTTTCTCTATAAGATCCATTTATTTATTTATTTATTTTTGGCAGATTATGATCAGATGTTGAAGAAACTGTGATGACAAGTATATGATACAGAGTATATATACATATATATATATATATATTTAATTATTGGAAACATTTACTTGCCATAACCAGTATTTGTTAGATATTTTTAGATAACATTCCTTTGAAAAGAGGACAGTCCCATTCCCTGTCTAGGTCTTATACATCATTAGTAAATTAACGCAAATAATGAATTAGCTTGGCACTATTTTAAAACATAGCTTGAAGTATTAAAGTAAAATATTGCTATCAACAAAATTCAGAAAACAGATATTTTAAAAATACTTCCCCACTCATTACGGTGAATCTAATTATTTAAAACAGAATTAGAATAATGTCAAACATTGAAATTTTATACTGCCCAGTGACATTTTATTTTCTATTATTAAATATGTTCCTGTGAAGTGGAATAATGCTATTATTATTTCTCTTTGCTTTTGAAGATAAATCTCTCATGAATCTGTTTCCAATGTTCTGTGCTTTGAAGATATTCTTATTTAAATCATGAATATGCTGAAAGATAACAAAGTTCTTTCCGGCTATTACAACTGACAACATGAAGTTAGAAAATGACACAAGTCTTGAAATCCTGTCCTTCTATTTTATTTATAAGCTAAAAAGGAACACATATCCATCCGAAAGCCCAGAAATATTCCACTATCCAAATTAACGTGTGTCCCATTAACGCAGCCAGAGATCGCTATGCACAGTGGAACAGAATCCTGAGAAAGGTCCATGCAAGCACCATTTCCACAGAAGCTATGCGTCATGAGGAGTATTTTATAAAGTCAGATACTGCAAGTAAAAAAGAAAAGACCCTAATAGAACATCTTCTGAATCGAAAGAAAACGTACAGTATCTCCAGGAAACATACTCTGTTTTGAGAAGAAAAAACTACATGAAGTCCCCACCTCCAACTGCTATGGCAGGCAGGACTGCATGCTGGGGAAGGAAGAATCCTGGTTCAGGGATCACGGGGTTCTCATCCTGGCTCTGCCCGAGTGAGCTGAAGGATCTTGGGAAGTCTTTAATATCTATGCACTGAACTTTTCACATGTGGATCATTAGGAAATTATGTTTAAGAATATCTGGTATACCCACTGACTGCAATAAAAAGAATTCATAGCGTCTATCTTTTCTTTAAGGTTTGGAAATTGGCAAAACGTACTCTAGGAAGTATTTACTATGCCGAGGGGAATTTTTTTTAACCCTAAACAATTTGCTTTATTAAACTGCAGACGGCAAAGTTCTATTTGACTAATTCAGATCCAGCCTGTATTAGATCATAACTGTAGAAGAAAAATAACAGAGGATAATTTAATTCACTAGGCAAGCATTTTCCTTTCCAGATTTCTAAATATAAACAGGTTTTAGTGAGTATTTTTCATTGCTCTGAGGTGCACCGTAGGCCTCTGCATTACTTTCCCTAACTCCATAGCCCACTATCACCACCGTGAGAAGGGGCTGGTCAGTGGCCTGCACATGACGATTACATTTTTCTGGCTTCTAGTAGAGAGAAATGCCTGCACATTTGCATGGTAATTGCATTTGCTTTTATTTGTGTTTTGTGCAGAAGAAGTGAGGAGAGCCCCGGCACCAGTGAAGAATGAGCAGAAGAGTACGGGGAGTTTGAGCGCAGAGGAGATGCCCCCAGGGGAGGACGGGAGGGTGGAAGAACTAAATCACATGGCAGCGATGGCCGGGGAGAAACCTGGCCGTCGGAAACCTCCTGCGGCAAGCATGACCGAGATTTTGTTTCTGAGAAATGATTTGAAATGCATTTGTTTGATGGAGCTATACCCTGGGAGCGCAGTGCGTGCTGTTTGCAATCTCACCTTCCACTGGCTCCAGGACTCAGAGGGCAAGGCGTAGTGGGTGTCAAGCGCAAACCCCTCAGCTCTGCCCACCCCGTGAAGGCTGCTCCTCCTAACCTCACCGCTGCATCTCTAATGTTCCCCGCCCCCGCCTGCTGTCTCCCGAAGCCGCTGGCTCTTGGGCTCTCTGCAGATCTCCACTGAGGTCAGCATTCTGTTGCGTCAGCCCAGTACCTCTGGACCTAGCTGCAGTGTGGGTCTCCACACTCCTCCCTGTAACCTTTCAAAACCTCCAGCTTTGGGTCCGACTATGTAATGCATTACCCCTTCTGCAGTTAAAAACCAGCCCCTGGGCCACTGTCACTGTTTCCTTTTAGATTTTGGTTCTTGGTAATATCCACTGAGGTCAGCATTCTGTTGCGTCAGCCCAGTACCTCTGGACCTAGCTGCAGTGTGGGTCTCCACACTCCTCCCTGTAACCTTTCAAAACCTCCAGCTTTGGGTCCGACTATGTAATGCATTACCCCTTCTGCAGTTAAAAACCAGCCCCTGGGCCACTGTCACTGTTTCCTTTTAGATTTTGGTTCTTGGTAATATATATAAAATCTTTTCAGTTCCTGGCTCTCTTTCCAATATTTGTACTATTTTACAATAATTTTGTCAGGAATTCCCATGGTCTTGTTAACAGTCATAGTAACTAGAATATAACCTCAGTTTTATTTTCTTTTTTATCTCCTGTATTTTCAGCCCACTAATGCTATGAGTCTAACAATTCTTTACCCCCACTAGCGCTCTTCAACCCTATTCCCTTTTAACCATATTTTCAGCTTCTCCTATTTTTATTTTTCTTCTGTTACAACTTAATTCTAGGCTAGGATCATCGTTTTCAACTTGTTACATACTATCTCGGGACAACCATTTACTCCTCTCTTATTTTATTATACTCAGAAATTCCCAATCACCAGCCAGTAAAGCTCACGCATGCTCTCTATGGCCAGAGAGTGGCGTACAGTGAAGGACGCTGCTCTCCCCCTAAATTCACCACCATCGCCTTCATGTGAACCGTTAGCACCACAGCACAAGCAAACTGAAGGTACCAGTTCTCCTTCGGCTCTCATTCTCTAAGTGGCCACATCCCTCTGGCCAAAATCCCAAAAGCTCCTTTCTGCCCTCACTCTCAACAGGATGCACACCACGAGGAGAGCGCAGCCGTGAGCGCCCACCGCTCCTCTGTTCTGCTGTTACTCAGGACGGGTTGTCCAGACTTTCGTCCAAGCTGACTTCTCCGTCTCATTTCTCCTGGATATTGTTCCAGCAACATTTTTTATGCTACGTCCCTGTTCTATTCTAGAAAATACACATTGACCAGCGATGGTATATACTTTCTCTTCTTAACAAATAAAAACAAGCTCCTGTGATTTATAATTCCCTCTAAGTACTACCCTAGCTTCTCCTTTGTCCTTTCAGTGGAACTTCCTGAGTTCCTTCCTTTAATCATTCTGCTATTTTTTCTTGAATCCGTTCCTCTCAGTCTTTTAAGTTGAAAATGTCATTAAAAATATTTTTTGCAGAGTCAGCACTGAACTTCGTGTTTCAAATATAGCACATTTTAAATAAAATCACTATGTGTCTAAATTAAATGGTCAACTCTCAGACTGCATCATTTACTCACATTATGTTGGTATACGTGACTGTTGTTAATTTTTCACTTTTTAAAAATTGGTACATGTTTGCAGTACATAATGATTATATTCCTTTTGCAGAGTTGACATAGGTATGTAAAACATCTTAATTCATTTTTCACATTTAGTTTAAGTATGAATACAGTATAGAGACAAACTCAAAGGTTCTCCATCCAAGCACATTTACATCCAATTCATGTCTATAATCCTCCTGGGAACTTTTGAACTTAAAACTTCTTAAGATTGCACATATATAGCATTATAATCTAAATGATATGTAGGAAACTTGATGTATTATAAACAAATACACTGATATTCATACAATGCAACAAGTACTCATGTTAGATTAAGTATGGAACAGCTCTAAGTATCTTTTTTCAGTTTAAGTAAGATTTTTGTCACAAAGTAGTTTTTGAGTGTGTAGTCAATAAATATGTCATGAAACATTTTCATTATGGACTTTGGAATTGTGGTTGATGATTTGGACTCTGCCTTAAATTTCATTGATTAATCAGAAAACAACTGCTCTTTTGGAGAGAAATATTTTAAGTCACCTCCTCCACATGTGGCATCACAGTCTTCCCAGCCTGTGTGTGTCCATATGAAAAGGGGCTCAGGTGCTTTCGAGCTCTGATTTTCTGGAAGAGGATCCAATGGGACAGTGTACTCATAGTGAAGGCCATAACTTTGATCTTGAAACAGAAGCACCTAAGGTATATAAAGACAAGTAAGGAAGAGTATTCAAACTATTGCACATTCACGTGAAGTATAAAATCAAGAACATTGCTACTTTAAAATGCTTATTTCATGATGAACATCCCCTCTTTAATGCAGAGTAGAAATGTGACAGTACTCTTAAATGTTAAAATCGTCATACTTTTGAAAATATTGGCGCTCCACACTTACCTGTGAGTAAAAGACAATAAAAAAAACTCACTTGAATGAGGTCAGAGATAACAGATTGTTTTCCTTGAATTTTATGGACTGGGCAATTTCCCAAAGCATGAAACATGTGTGAAAACTCTAGAAGAGGTTGAGAGAATGGTGGCAGAAAAGAGTCCTAATATGAAGCTATGACTTACTGTGTAATGTCATCTGTGGTCTTTGCACTAATATAAAGTGAGAAGACAGACAGACTGCAGGAATCACGTACTCTGTAAGAGAACTTCTTTTTTTTGGTACCGGGGATTAAACTTGAGTCCTTGTGCTTGCAAGGCAAGTGGCAGAACCACTGAGCTAAATACCCGGCCCTGGAAAGAGAACTTTTAAACTAACTGGAGGGTAAGAATTTATTCCATGTATATTTACAGTAACTTTAAATTTTGGCATTTTTCATTTGTAGTGCAGAAATTTTCCTTTGAAATAAATGTATGTCAAAATAAAGCCTTAAGTAAATATTGATAATTTTACAGTTATGTACACACACATATGCAGTTGCATAAACCATACTGGATGTATGGGAATGTTTGAATTCTGGAATACACCAAACACAACCATAGGCAAGAACCAAGTCTGTTTCTTTCTCTACCAGTCCCCCGTGCCAGCCTCACAACCGAATCATAATGGACACTTACAATTATTTAGCGAATATACATATATACAAATGTATCCATGTGCATATTTTTAAATGAAATAAAGAATGTCCACATGATTCTTTATAAATTCACTTTCAGAAAATATAAGGTGTAACCGCATGAAATACACCAATTCTATTTTCCTGACGATCTATATGGAGAAGCAATCTGTATAATAAAAATTTGAGGCATTTTTAGGTAACTGGATGCACCTCAAGACCACTATGTTAAGAGAAATAAATCAGGCAAACAAGTTAAAATATTGTATCATCTCACTTGTATAAGAAATCCAAAATATAAATATGGAGTAGAATGGGGGAGAGACATTAGGAGGCAGAAAGATCTTGTTCAAATGGGAAGAGAAACAAGAGATGGGTGAGGGAGAGACAGAAGCGCCAAAAGGATTTAAAGAAAAAATAAACTGAAAGGAAAAAATGGAATAGAACTTTTGTAAGTGTGGAGGGGAAGTTGGAGGGAGACGAGAGGAAGGGACCTAAAAACAAGAATTAAGTTGTGCTGTGTACATGTGCAGACATCCCATGATGGGAAAATTACGTACTACAAATATGTACTTAAAAACATAAAATAGGGAAAAAAATAAAATGTGATGGTGAAAACATATATAACTACAATTTTAATGATTTCTACATTTTAGGAAACTTTGTTCAATATTTAAGCTGTGTCTAGGTAGCTATAATAACAAGTTATTCTGAGTTAATATTTAGTGGAGAAATGCAAATGAACCCAAGGTTGAGAGTCAAAATACATTTTCTTTACGTCTTTTCCTCAAGGTTTTGTTGAGTACATCAAGAGAAGTATTTCAATGTGTGGAAAGGGAAACTGGTGTACTGACTTTATGAAACACATATCCATAATAAAATAAGAGATTTTTTTGGCTTAAATATCTCATTTGATATTGTTGGTTACTTTTTGTAGCCCCATAAGTTTAAAGACAAAGAACTTAATGATTTTTTCAAAAATTACTTACCTTGTTTATGGCTATAACCAGACTATTACCTAATTTTTACATTAATGAAATGAACATTACAATAAACCAGCCTATTTAGTTACATGAAAACATGTCTTTTTTTTTTTAAAAAAAAAAACACTACCTTTTCATTGATAGAATTTTGGATTGTTCTTGCATATAATATAACGCCATTTAAAATAGAGACACCGGGCCAGGGATTTAGCTCAGCGGTTCGGTGGCCTGCCTTGCAAGCGCAAGGACCCGAGTTCAATTCCCGGTACCAAAAAAATAAATAAAATAGAGACACCGGTCACAAAACCAATTTCTTGAGCCGTCTGTGTGGCAGCGTTCTGTGCAGGAAGGTGTGACCCTGCCGCTGTGGACGACGCGGACTAAAGCGCGGCGGCGACAGGTGTCACCTCTCAGAAATCAGGATCAACTTTCGATGGGTAACAGTCATTACAGAAAAGGATCTCAGAGGGGCAGTTTCCCTTGGATCACTGAGTAAATCCAGGTCACACAGATGCCTTCTTTTGAGCACAGTTCATGGCCTGCGGCTGTGCTCCCTGCTGCCAGGATCAAGGGATATGTAGTAAGAAAACCCCTTCCTCCTAGCAGTCAGGTTTCACGTACACTGTTTTAACATTTTCAAATGCATAGAGGCTCAGTACAAGCGTCTCGGCCTTGTTTCATAAAAAAAGAAAAAAATAAAAAATGTAGGTTATGCTTACACAAGTAAACAGAATGGCATTTTTCTAAAGCTCAATTATTAAAATGTTTGTTACTGATCAATTGATAATGTCATTGAATGAGATCTAATTATAGAAAGAAGTAGATATTGTTCACGTGGTGTTAATAATTTTCTCCTCTTTCTCTAGATGTAACAGGGAACCAAATGGAATTTTTTCAACTGAAATTATATGATAGACTCCAAAGGACTTGTAAAGAGATACATAAAATCATTTTCAGTTTAAAAAATCTAAGCTTATGGGGCTGGGGATCTAGTCAGTGGTTTGGTGGCCTGCCTTGCAAGCGCAAGGACCGGAGTTCAAACCCCGGTACCAAAAAAAAAAAAAAAAAAAAAAAA